AAGGTAGAATTACATTCAGTAAACCTAAATTAGCTACGCTATGCCAAATTGCTTTACATCATGAACATTGCAATTGTTTCCATTGATTGCACCATGAAGTATTTCCGATTTGCATAACAATTAGAAATTAAGTCGTGATAATAGTTGCAATAGAACTCCACTTTGCTATCGATTGATTATACGCATAACAGAGCGAGACAATTGCAATTTGATTGTATATTAGCATAGAATAAGGGTTTAAGGTAAAAAATGTCAATCAGGCTTGTAACAATTACATAATTCACCACAATATAGCATAAACTATCTATCATGTCCGTTTATACATACACTATTTTCATTTTGCTTTGCATACCGCTTTTTTAATTGTTGTTTAGCCAATACTTTCAAAATCATTGGTTGATATACTGTACTTCATTAGCATCAATTATTTATATTTTTATCACATCAAACTAAAATATGTGCAAAACTGAAAACCTGGAGGTGAAAATTAAACCTAGAGAATGTAAGTATCGAATATAGTGTTGGGCTGACTCAGTGACGAAAATAGCATAATTTACAGAGTTTCAGAAATTCTCTTCTTGCTTATAGCATATAGTAATGAAAAAATTGTAATCATGCATGCCGTTTGCTTCATGATTATTAACTTTTCAGGAAAATATATCTAATCCTAGCCCAATTTTTTCTTCTAGGATACTAGATAAATTAATCTTTAGCATCTGCTCTGCAAAAATATCTAGAAATTAATAATTAATAATAATACTTATCCCCAATTGAATATGCTATTATATTAAATTAATTTCGACTATCTATACGTACATAGTTTGATTTATATGTAGTGAAGTAAATTCATAAATTTCTCCTTCATTTCTTTTTAGATCAGCATTGTAATAGACCGATTTATAGATAGATCAACACCTATTAGAGTAGTCAAATACTGTACTGTTTCTATTGAGTTTTGAAACCTAAAAATAATTTAATGGAACAGATGAGGGTGAGTGTTTTTCAAGATATGTGAGAAATTAAATTAGAGCATAGTTAGGTATACGATTAATAATAATTTCGAGTGACTGCGAATAAATTGTGAGTTGAGATTGTTAATTTATATCTAGGTAAATTATCTGTCTTAAAAAATAAAGGAAATAACCTTCAACGTTCGCTGTTCGAAAATATTAGTTGAACATACCAACTCTAGTCTTTATCTTAGAGAAATCTTGATAGTAAATAGCATGCATGAATCCAAAAGTTCAGAAATATAATTCGCTAGATGTAGCTTAGCCTAAAAGTGTTAATTGCTTTTATTTCAGCTTACATTACTACAGAGATTTCTATTCGTATTTGATTAATATGGTATTGGGAGGTTATCAATTTCAATAATTAAGCTCAATATATCATTAATCAGGATAGAAATAAATTTGCTCTATCAATGTGTTACAGTGTTATATACTGTATTACAGTAGAAATATCTATGTTAGGATAATTCTATTAGACTATCCTTATTTAGTTAACTTCTAATTTGGATATACTGTATTTTAATATAGCACTGACTTTTTATGACAGTGACACTTATACACATACTGAAATTAATAGTTATAATAGGGAATGCAAATCATCTGCTTACAGTTCGAATCATTGTGATTGTAATTTACTTATGGTAGATTGTAAATTATCATGGAAATGTTCCGTGATAGGACATATCGTAATCTGACTATTCTGTATTAGTCATTACATGTCTATGTTCGTAAATACTGTTGTCTGCATTAAGGGAGCAGTAGCTAAAATTAATATCTAATTCAGTAAATGATTCTAATGTTAATTGTATTAGCTATGACTCATGAACTATTGAGGAATAGTATATAAATGCAGTATGTCGTGAAATAAAGAAGAATTGTCCAACTTAGTGTTTAACGTAAAATACGAGGCGTTTAAGTCTTTATGTAGTCTGCTAGTAGAGCAAAAGTGTTTGTGATAGTGCAGATATCGTTCCTTGATACGCGGTTCAAGGAATTGACTTATTGATCGTATATTGCGTTATCTTGTTGCAAAGCTGTTTTGTGACACGATGTATTAATTGTTATGATTAAATATAACGCAATAAAAGTCATCAAATTTTTCATAGAAACGAGGACAATCAGTAAATTAATTATTTATTGCAATCAGTTGAAGATATTGAGAATGCCTAATTAACCTTCTATGGTGCGTTTCCTCGTAAACAATTTTTAATGCACCTTGATCACTAGCTGAACAAGACACTTCATTACTAGCTACCCAACAATACATTACTCGTAACAACATTAATAAAACTAAGATTTTGATTTAAAAATTTTTTTTTAATTAATAGATTCCTATTGTATTTACTCTAGGCATTATTTCAATCTTAAAATCAAATCAGTTAACGGTGCATTAATTGTTATTACCGCTTATTGAATTACAGTTTTAAATTAATATCTCCTCAATTAAGTTATTTCATATATGCATAGAGCAGTTACGATTATGTCAGCTCTAAATTGACAACAATTACATTATGAATAAGGTTGTCATGCTTGAATAATCTACCATTTTCCTGAAATTAAAATCATTCAGTATTGTCTTAATAGTTATTCCGGATTCGGTTAACATTTGAATTATCGTAACCATGATCAGTCCAATTAATAGTGATCTTGTATTTGAGAAGAGTATATGGATATCATTATTATGTACTGTTTGATAAATTCAATTATCACTATTATTATTTCACAATCTTGCTAGTTATTTTATGATGTGATTTACTGACAATATTTTAGTAAGATCAAACTATCTGTAATTAAGATAGGGTAATTCGATCTTGCATACGCTGATGAAGACTATATTAACAATTGATTAAAATAATATCTGATTTCCGTGAGTAAGACATCATTTCCATTTCTCCAAATCCAATTATAGTTATAATCATAAACCATAATGATACTGTAAATTCATTAAAATTATAAACATAATGTAAGGATATCTTATGGAATATATGACCTAGACAACTATGGTGGATATAATAAGTTATGCTATTGATTACTTGTATCAATCTCAGACTAAAGCTATATCTAGTAAAGATATTTAGGATGGTGCTGAAGTGCTCAGTATCTATTTTGTCAAAATAGAGAAAGTAATTAGTTTGCCAATATTTTAAATTATGGTTTGATACAATGTTAACAGATAGCAATTACAGATTAGCAATAAGTATCTTGATGATAAATTATCTCAGTTAGAAGATATTAAATAATTCTACGCTTATATTGATTTCATTGAAAGCTTTTGATGATTGCAAGCTATCAATCCAATCAAATATTTTCAGTAATTATAATTATTATTATTATTGATAAGTAGAACAATCCAGGCTTTTACTCCAATTATATCAGCGCGTTATTGCAGTCTAGTTATAGTTGCTTATCAGAGTTTTTTATTTCATATTGCAGTAGGAATCATTAAATTCAATTAAATCAATAATAACATAAGCATGGATCTAAATTGCGTTACCAAAATGTGATTAATCCTAAATGGAATCAATGATACGTTGAATAATAACCTTTACTGATACTTTATCGATGGCTTCGAATGTTACCTTTAAGATAGAAGGAAAGGCATCGGTTATTTAGTCATACAATTCGATAGAAATCAGTTTTCTTGCTAGATTAAAGGGATGTTATACCAGTAAAATTTTATCCTTAGACTGTAAATCATGTTTGCAGTTAAATTGTGAATTATAATTATTGAAACGGTGCGGCTGAAATAGATGTCGGTTTTTATTAGGTTAATTGACCAATTCTAATTTCCGTTCTTTATCCATTAGTATACAAAATATGAATAGATTATCGATACAGTGATGATTCCATATAGAATTAAATTCAGAATTAAAAGCGAGGAGATATCATCACGCTCTTTTAGCTTGATGAAGATGACAAGTAAGTGCAGTAGTATTGTTTACATTAGAATTGGACATCGAATTCAGTATTCAAAGTAGGCAAGAAGTTCTTCTGTGTATAATTCTTTTAAACAAGTCAACCAGCAGAATTTGATTTTATTGCAGAAGTACAGAAACATATACTCATTTAGTAATTCTTGATATAGGTGCACTCATTTCCATCGATGTCTAGTATCAAGACTGATTCGACGGTCTTGGATAACATTGATTATGACCAGATTATAATATCAGTTGTTCTTTAATTTATACTTATTAAGGTTAGTGCCTTGATTGCTTGAAAAGCATGTAAAGGACTAATAAAATGTAGTATTAATATTAAATATTAAGATATAAAGGCTATAATTGTAATGATGTTTGTGAGTAGAGAAATCAAACTAGCAATGCTAAGATCACTATTGATCGCAATTTACTGTTTCATAAATAGTTATCATCATTCGATGATCCAAAAGCTTAGTATGGATATTATGGTATTACAGCTAGAGTCATTTTAAAAGGTATCAACGGCTAATGCTATTGCAAAGGCGTGAGGTAAAATAGTTCCCCATGTCTAATCTAATAATAACAAGAAGTCCCATTTACAGGAAGTTCACTTAGTGACACTATTATAAAGTCAAGCGTTATGAAGAAAAACTTGGATAAAAGTTGTTTGATATCCTAATAATCGATTGTCGCTGGTCGATTTTTCCGATTGACGAAAAATCCACTCCTATGTATTGCTTATATTTCATCTCCGCAACAAAAATAGCAAAAGAAGGATTTCGATGTTGGAGATGATGATTACTGTACTTTGAGCTTTGCATTGAACTTGAATAATAGTGACGCAGAAGGCAAATTAACTACAGTAAAACGATAACCTTTAGGGAATAGAGTAAACTAGAGGATGGCGCTAAAGGATAGGTAGAATAGGAAAATATTGTTACAAACTACGAATTTTGTTACAATACATAGAACTAAGAAGCAATCGATGCCATTAGATTGCGTCGGACATGATCGACGTATCGATAGTCATTTTTTCATGACTAAAATAGCGCTTGACTTTTAACATTGCCAGTCATTTAACACAATTTGCTTGTTCGACATTGAAAGCGGTAATAGTATGAGCAGATGATTTTCGCTTCCAATCTTGTGCAACAATACTGTCCACAGTTGGATTGTGCACAGTATTAGCGCGATTATTGCTTGCCAATCGACTACACAGAAGATTGCCAAGCCATGTAGCACGAACTCGTTTCTCAATTTCCCTACGTAAACTAGCTGTAAAATAGCCATAAAGGAGTGGATTCATAGCTGGATAGGAAAAAGCTAAATACTGCAAGCTGCGTATCACTTGTGCTGTCGTAGGTGTAACAAATTTGGAGGAATATAACATTAAAAAGACAACAACGTAAGGCAGCCAAAATAGGATAAAGATACCAATCATGATGGCCATATGTTTGATTGCTCGGATATTACGCTTAATGACTGAGATTGGCGTACTAGCACGTCGAGAGATGATTTTATCACGTTGTGTGTGACTGTTAACAATGAACAAGATTTGTGTATAAGTCACAATTAACACCAGCAATGGAAAGAAAAATAAAACACTGAAAATAGTGATTAAATAAGCGTGATGGACTGGGTTAGCAGGCCTGAATTTAACACAGGTATTGGGTGGGGGCATTAATATTGTAAATAGCGGCAAATATGCACTAAAAATACTCAATAACCAGACAGCGGCTACGGATGACATAGCAATTAAACGCGTTTTCCTCATTTCATATTTAAAGGGAAATATTACGCAAAAGTAGCGATCCAAACTGACTAAGGTTAAATGTAAATTTAAGTTCACAATTAATCCAATACCAGTTAATGGTAGAACAGTGCATGCGATTGGATCCTGTTTAACCCACTGATAATAGAGTACCCATCGAGGTAATAAATAAAGTAGGCCAAAGATGATTCCAGCACAAAACATGCTAGCCATGATCCAGTTGGACATCGTATGAAGTTTACGCTCCGATACAATTAATGCTAACATAAAAATATTAGTCAGGATAGTTAGTCCTGTAATAACGCCGTAAACGATCGTTGATTGAACTGTTTCGAATGGAATTTCCGTTTGATTGGTTATATTGGACATGATGAATTGATCTTGTTGGCTAGACTTGTTATTAAATGAGCGATGGCAATTTCTTGTGACGAAATGAAATTAGATTAAGGATGCCAACTAGAAGAATAGTCGCCTAACTCTTCAATATTCAAGTTATCAATTGGCTACTGAAGTACGTCAAATTCTCTTGTACACCTAATAATTAAGGGAAAAATTGCAAGATAGAATTGGTCCGGTTAGTCATGATGACACAGAAAGATGAATTGATCTTCAGTCTTGAATAAGATGACAGCAATTTACAGACAAATACGAATCATAGTCGCCATTAGCATATTACTTATGGCAATCGTATAATAATAAACAACCATCTCTCCCAACAGTAAGCGAACATCAATCAATACGGCAGTTTTCAATTCATCGTTATCAACTAATCAGAATACATTGGTCGCCTCAATAAAAAAGTTTTGACTTAAGCGATGAAATGAAAGTACGTATAGGCTTCCTATTTCTATTTTTTATTTGTCATATCAATGGAAAATACAAATATTATTCTTTCCCAACTCCAGCTAATGAAGAATGGAACGGTACCTACGTCTAGTCTTCTCTATCCTCGATCATTATGCGACTAATGATAGTTTAGTGCCTATTTTGGCATCATTGAATACTATCGAGTAGACTAGATCAATTCCTCTTTCATCACTTATCAATCAATAACAAAAAAAAATATGTAACAATCAACTTCTATTCAATAGTCATGTAGAACAAATAAATGCAAGTATTATCTCGGTTATCATTTTTTCCATTTTTTTATCTATCAATTCAATAGATAAGGAGCGACATGATGTGATCGAACTGTCAGAATCCCAATAGCCTGCAGTGATGATCATGCATATTATTGTTGACGATAGAATGAATCATTGACCGATTTGATGTCTTATAACGGATCTTTTCTCGATATACAGAGACTCAATTAGTCTATATTGACTTAATTATTGTCTTGGCTGATATAATAATATTGACTTGGTTACAAGAAAAATAAATAACTTGATCATTAAATTGACTCAAATCGATCGAAGTCGATTAGATAACCTCTTGAATAATTAATAAGTTATACAGATTTAGATGGGATGAAATCAAAATTAAAAACAAAAAAGAATGATGCTAAAATCTGTAAAATTGCCAATTTGATCATCTTAAAAAAAATTGACATAATGCTAGAAATGATGTGTTTCCATTTTTTTTTTAAGGGGGGGGGGCTATTTTTTGATCTAATGACTTCTTCAACAAGAACAGAGAGTAATCTAGTTGAACTTGTGATTCTCCCGGCTAAGCTAAGCGACTGTCAAGGCAATAATAGCTAATAAATGAATTACAACAATGTCGAACTATAATTTAAATTGAATGCAAGACTGATTGAATATCGTCGTTGACGTCTAAATTGAAATTATTATTCTTACCTTCGTCATACCTTTTATTCAGTATTATAGCTACCCAATATTGCCATTGGCAAAACGAGTTAGGGATATTATGAAATGCACGATAGTTATACAGTGTCAAAAAGGACTAAAATTTTCACCTTCTTTCCCTTCGTAAATACTGAACATTTGTCCTGTTGACTTTCATCAATGCAATTGTTTCAAATCAATATCGTATTTTTATTCTATGTGTAAACCATATTTTAATATCATGACAAGGTATTTTATAGCCATTCGTATGTATTTTACTTTTCTTTTCTTTTTCGTTCTATTATCACACAGTCATTGACTTTTTCATTTATTTATTTAATGGTTGAAATAGGATCGTAATATTGATACGGATAAGATATGTTCCGATAAATAATCGTTTTTAACTTTCGTCATCGTGATCTTAAAGATCGATTCATAAAATTCTTTAAATGAAAAACACTACATTTTTATGAAGGCTATACTTACAGTTTGGATAGCAACAATATCTACTATCGGACTGCCTTAATAGGAACTTGAAATATTAGATCAATCAATAACATTAATGAGAACTTTTATTTCTCCTCAGTTCAATTTTAAATTGAATGATGTAGATATTTTCTATTTTGCTTTCCATCATCACCTACTGGAATTTTCTTCCAATGTATCACTAAGAATGACGTCGATAGGGCAGATTCACTAATTAAGGCTAAATTATCATTAATTTACCTTGACTATAGAAAATTGAAAGGCATTGATTACGAGCAGCGGTAGAATAATACCGTTTAGGGTAATCTTGTTCATGGCGATCAAGACTGAAATGAGTTCCTATTGCTATCAATCGGCTACCATCACTGATTAGATTTTCAACTGTTGATACTTGTAAATTAGGATGATGATTTTATAATTGCTGATTTTTTTTATCTGTTCGTAAGAACATGACTAATAAAAACAACAACAACAACAAAAAATTACTTGGAAAACTACAATAACTCAAATCATTGAGTATTATGACGTGATGATTATTGAAAATGTTTATCGGACAGCAGCGTCAAAGACAGTTGATATTGCTATTAAAAGGCGACAGTAGCTGATTATAGTAGCCTAAATTGATTTGATGTCTTTTAATGTTAACCAAGAACAGTCATTAGATAATCTACCAAAGCTATCTGACTGATAATTGAATAGTAATTCTATTCAATTGAACATGATAAATTAGCGTTCCAAACGATATTGCGAAGCTATCGACATCTACTCTGGCTGACATTATACTTTGATGTTAATGGACACTCTATAGAGGAATACTTTCCTAATAATAATTAACATCATTATGCTGGAGTACCAATATCATCGCTGTCATCATCATTAAATTAAGTGATTGCTATGATCCTATCATGAACAACTCGCTACTTTGACAAATTTGATATTGAAAATGTTGTTGCTATCACATTAAGTTAACACTATAACTGTCAATCGATTTTGACAGAAGCGCTGCGACTGCGATGACTAATTCTATTAATATGATCGTAAGATAATTAGGCCTATTAAATAACATGTTGTGATTCATGATTAATATAACATATAGATACAGTGAACTATTATAGGAAATGATGAGATTAAATAAAAAAAACCCAGATAATCAAATACTGCTGATTGTATTGGTCAATTTTAAGATCGAGTAGAATAAAGATGAATAATTGATAGAAAAAATACATCGCGTATCATTGCCCATTTTTCATCGTTAAATAGTATTTAGAAACGTTTTGAGTTCAGTACGGCCGCTTACACGGGGTATTTAATGTAGACAATGATGATCTAGCAGTTCTATCAAGTATTCTCTAGTTAGATATATTAATAAAATTAGATGCGATCTGTTAACTATCATGGGAACTGCTGTATTAAATTAGACACAACCAATAAACTAGATAAAAATTTAAACGGATTCTAATCCGATACCGACACGATAGTTTTTCTCATCGCTAAATGTCATCATGGCAAGATGATGGCTTTACTTTAAATATGGGTCTAACTAATAAGTAGGATAATTACCCAAAATTATATTCTTAAATTATTTTGACCCTACAACCCACCATATGAGAACTTTTGCTGTTTGACGAAAAATTACATGTTCTCTATCCATTATTTTCAATTGTAACGACTAAGTTCGCATATGACAGGATGATACCAAAGATATTAAGCTAGACTTACTTTAATATAGATGATGATCAAAAGAAATAAGATGCTTGATATAAAGGATAGTTTTAGTCCGATTCCCCGTTCTCAATGTTAATCTTCCAACAGGATTGATTTTGATCTTTTTGTTTAATGAATTCAATTCAATCAACGGTCGTATTAGTCCAGCTGTAATTCAAATAGTGCAATAGCCCAAATTAATATAGCTGATCTCTTCAACTGGTCATTCAGCTAGATGTTTTCCCTTCATAGTTAAGAATGGAATTAAATGATAATTCTAAAAAATATAAATTACAGTTGAATTAGATGATAATAAATAATAGCAAGTTTTTCTAGCTGATAGCCAATTATTTGTTAATTGATCAGAAACAATCAGGTCGCTTTATAGGTAGTTAGGCTTTAGTATTTTTTTAGCAGTCTTTTTTACCTACGATAATTGTAGCTCTGCTTGTAAATGATCTTTAGATGTCTAGAAGATTTCAAATCACTTGGAAAAGATACAAAGTGAATATTTTTAAAATCATTCTAATCCCAATTATCGAGCTACGTATTACTCCAACTTGATTACCGTACTTGCTACAAAACAAATTAGTTCAATTGCATTACCTATTCGTTTCTTTCTTCGATCTATATATCCGAATTACAAATATTAGGCGTTGACCAATAGATATTGTAGCTGGAAGTCAATTCCTTCAATCGTACAATGTCAGAATTATTTGTCGAATGGTGTTATTTGGTTGATTAATGGTGTAAAAAGCATCGAATCAAGCTAAATTAGAATGATCAGAGTAATGTAAGTGCTGATTTTTTTCTTTCTCTTTCCTAAGATAACGTTCAATAAGAGGTTAACCATGAGTTTCAGAAATGGCTGATAGCTATTTTGACAATCGAGGCTGGTTGTCCTGCTGTTTTCATGACACTGTCTTACTCAACGGTATGTTAACAAATGACAGGAGTGTCTAAAGGGAGAAGAAAATAAGCTAGAGGGTGGAGGAAAATAGTATTCTGATCATTGTTTACCAGGTTATGACCAACTGTGCAAGCATTGTAAAAATAGACAAAGAAATGACAATAGTTAAAGCTAACAAGATCATCCATCTTATTTGGATTCAATATCTCCAAGCTTGATTAGACAACAGCAAGAAAGGATAGTATACAACTAAAGAGAGGAAAACAGTCAAAAAATAAAAAATACCATCTGTATCAATAGTAAACCAAAGTAATAACAGCTTGAAACAATAACTAAATCGAATTTCAAGTCTAGTTCAAACTAAAGATGTTGATAGTTAATAAATTTTGAAAGTATATGAGACGCCATCGTTTATAACGATCAGCGTATGCGTCTATATCTTAATGTATTCATATAGATAATATTATTTTTGGTAAAAATAGAAG